CCAGAACTGAACTAGAACAGAACCAGAACTGAACTAGAACTGAACTAGAACAGAACCAGAACTGAACTAGAACTGCACTAGAACTAAACTGTTTCAAATATAATTGGAAATGTTGCAATCAAATTATATTTGAGAACTTTATTCAATTTCATAATTTTCTAATTTAATTTAAAACAAGAAGGAAAGTATAGTCGGGCATGGCCGACCATATGATACCCTACATCACTGAGTATGTTAAAAATGTGGATTATATTTAATAACAAAGCATTTAAGTTGTTTACCTTAATTCCGAAATATTTTAACAATTTGTTCAAAAAAGTGATTTTCTAAAAGAAAGGTTATATGGGGGCAAGGGTAAAAATGGGCCTATCCTTATAAATTTTGGTACATGGCTTTACGTTTACAATAGAGTTATGTATGCTGGATTTCATCGTGATACTTATGTGAAATTGTAATTCAGAAATTTATAATTACATTTCTGAAATGTTCAGAATTTTCCATTTGTATATGGGTTCGCCATAAAGACCAGATTTGGTATCGACTTTAAAAGAATGTTTAGGACCCTTTTTTCGAGTAGCAAAAGATTTGTGTAAAATTGTGTCTAAATTCTAATGGAAGGTATATTTAACGAAAATATTTAATTGTTATAAATAAATGCTGATACAAGAAATGTATCTTTTATTTCAACCTATAATTTTACAACATTTTGAAAAGATGTTCCATAAACTTCAAATACTTTAAAGCTTGTCTTCAAGTAACTTACAAATGCCCAAAAAAAACACCTATAGCTGTAAATTCACTTTAAAAATTTACACTACTAGGTTTAAAAAATGTCAGCCAATATTCTTAAATAATGGGTCTTTTGCTCGTTAAACTCACAAGTACTTCAGCAATATATTTTCAAGTACTCACTGATACACAACAATAACAATAAAAAATATGAGAGCACAACAAAACAATAAAGAGTAAAAGTAAAACAATTTACAAATAAGAGAGCAATGTAAACAGAACCCCCCAAAACAGTGGAGAGGTAAAAAGAGTAAACTTTTAAGGTTTTTATATGTCGAAAAAAAGAGCAACAATATAAACTCATGCATAAAAATATAACACTCATACGTTGTGTAGGCTAACGAGGGTGGGTTGTTAAGTTATTTTAGGCTACACACAAAAAATAACAAATAATATTTTGTTTTTATTATCTTAAGGCAAATATTAAAATGTTAAACCTTCAAGCTATTTTAACACTCATTTAAACCAAAAATATCAATATTTGTTTGGTGTTTTCTTTTAATATGGAAAAATATGATGTAAACAAATCCTTGGTATTATGAGGTTCTGAGAAACCTGAGGCTATAAATTTATATCCGCAAAAACCTTCCTCCCGCCTAACGGAAAACAGTTGGTAAAGTGCCATAAAAACAGAAATGTTTATGGAAAAAACACACACATACACACTGTGTTATGATTAAAACTACAGTAAAAAGGATCGAAAAAAAAAATAAACAAAAAATATATAAAAAGGTGTTAAAAATATATATTTTATAAATTGTGTGTATGTTGGCTTTTATTATTTTTTCGACTTTTTGTGAAAAGCACTTCAAGCCAGTTTCTGGCTGGAAAATTGTTTTCATGAAAACCAACTAACACATAGGGGGTATATTGATTTTATCATGTTGAGTGTAACACATGGGAATATTGTCACCCTAATTATCTATGTTCTGATTCCTTAAAGAATTTTAAGTAGAACTGAACTACAACATAGCAGACCTAAAAAAGAACAAGCATAGAACTAGAACAGAACTAGAGCAGTACTACAACAGAACTAGAACAAAACTTGAACGGAACTTGAACATTAATAGTACAGAACTAGAAGAACAAGAACGGAACTAGAACAGAACTAGAAGAAAAGACAGAACTAGAACAGAACTAGAACAGAACTAGAACAGAACTAGAACAGAACTAGAACAGAACTAGAACAGAAACTAGAACAGAACAAGAACAGAACTAGAACAGAACTAGAACAGAACTAGAACAGAACTAGAAACAGAACTAGAACAGAACTAGAACAGAATTAGAACAAAACTAGAACAGAACTAGAACAGAACTAGAACAGAACTAGAACAGAACTAGAAGAGAACTAAAACAGAACTAGAACAGAACTAGAACAGAACTAGAACAGAACTAGAACAAAACTAGAAACAGAACTAGAACAGAACTAGAACAGAACTAGAACAGAACTAGAACAGAACTAGAACAGAACTAGAACAGAACTAGAACAGAACTAGAACAGAACTAGAACAGAACTAGAACAGAACTAGAACTGAACTAGAACTGAACTAGAACTGTACTAGAACTGAACTAGAACTGAACTAGAACTGAACTAGAACTGAACTAGAACTGAACTAGAACTGAACTAGAACTGAACTAGGAACTAGAACTGAACTAGAACTGAACTAGAACTGAACTAGAACTGAACTAGAACTGAACTAGAACTGAACTAGAACTGAACTAGAACTGATCTAGAACTGAACTAGAACTGAACTAGAACTGAACTAGAACTGAACTAGAACTGAACTAGAACTGAACTAGAACTGAACTAGAACTGAACTAGAACTGAACTAGAACTGAACTAGAACTGAACTAGAACTGAACTAGAACTGAACTAGAACTGAACTAGAACTGAACTAGAACTGAACTAGAACTGAACTAGAACTGAACTAGAACTGAACTAGAACTGAACTAGAACTGAACTAGAACTGAACTAGAACTGAACTAGAACTGAACTAGAACTAGAACTGAACTAGAATTGAACTAGAAATGAACTAGAACTGAACTAGAACTGAACTAGAACTGAACTAGAACTGAACTAGAACTGAACTAGAACTGAACTAGAACTGAAGTAGAACTGAACTAGAACTGAACTAGAACTGAACTAGAACTGAACTAGAACTGAACTAGAACTGAACTAGAACTGAACTAGAACTGAACTAGAACTGAACTAGAACTGAACTAGAACTGAACTAGAACTGAACTAGAACTGAACTAGAACTGAACTAGAACTGAACTAGAACTGAACTAGAACTGAACTAGAACTGAACTAGAACTGAACTAGAACTGAACTAGAACTGAACTAGAACTGACTAGAACTGAACTAGAACTGAACTAGAACTGAACTAGAACTGAACTAGAACTGAACTAGAACTGAACTAGAACTGAACTAGAACTGAACTAGAACTGAACTAGAACTGAACTAGAACTGAACTAGAACTGAACTAGAACTGAACTAGAACTGACTAGAACTGACTAGAACTGAACTAGAACTGAACTAACTGAACTAGAACAGATTAGAACCAGAACAGAACTATAATGAAAAAATATATTAAACAAAATATGTTAAATGTTAAAAGTTAAATGTCCGGTATTCCTTCCGTTTCCAAAAGCTTAAATTTGTACAAAAGGCGAACTGGTGGGCATTTCATATTCGACATACGGAATTAAAACACTTTTAAATGTTTCATTTCATTTTATTTTGGAAAATGTTTTTTTATGGCGCAGTCAAATCCATTATAAAAGTGAGCATCATCATGTATTCTTTAAATATCATACCGAAACAAGCATGTGAAAAAAGAACAAACCAAGTAACAACAATTTGCCTGATAAACTGAAACAATTGTTTGAAATAAAAAAAAAGTAAAAAAAAAATAACTTAAAAAACAATAGGATTTTCATGTTTTTAACACAAAAAATGCTGAAATCCCAGTAACAAAACAATAACGTATGTATGTATTGTTTGTAAAATAATTAAAAATTTACAGGAGAATAATTTATATCAGAGATTTTTTCTGTTCGTATTAAATGTCAAAAGAATGACAAATACAAACAAAAAAAGAATTAACTTTTTGCAGAGATAAAAGGTTTCGTCAGTCGGTTATACAGTGAGTCAGTCTCCTCTCACAAAGAGGACTAAATTTATTTATGCATAATGAAACGCCTTTTTGAAAAGCTAAAACACAAGACTTGTATTAAAATTTAAATCTCCTAAAAGTATGCCATACAAAATCAATAATTCTGTAATACATTTCATACATAGTACATTTCATTTCATTTATATTGAAGCCTAGTTGTAGGCTTTACAAGTTTTATTGCCTTTTGTATAGGCAATACAAAATACAGAATACAAATTATTAATACATTTTAAGTCATTGAGCAATGTTTTTTAGATAATTAAAAAGAATCTACTCATAATCATACATACATTGGAATATCTACAAAGGAAATATTATTTGTTTGCAAAAACCTTAAAATCAATAAAACCCAAACTATTTATACAGATTTCTTAAATAAACAAAAACTATATATTTATGCGTAATGCAGAAGAAATCTAACGTTTTATGGCCTGTAGTTTACAAATAAAGATTTTTGAGCTGAAGGAGTGAGTTAAGGAAAAGTTGTACACAAAATTTAAACAGTACCTTAGATGCTTGAGTCAGAAATAAGCAGTCAAGATATCTTAAGTTGACTAATTAAGTGGACCAGAAACGTTCGAAAGTTGCAATTTAACTTAACACATTCCTTAACTTGTTTTGATATATATATAAGTACATATTTATAATGTAAATGTATAATTTCTAGACCTGCGGCATAAATACAGAACATTTTATTAAATGTGTAATACAAACATTTACAGATTTAATATGAAAATGTTAAGAGAAATATAAATACATACATAAATGTATTCATATCCTTTGTATTCAAATCAACACAAACAAGTTAAACATTTTACATTTAATACGGCATAAGTTAAGGAGCAAAAAAATAAAATTTTGCTGAATACGCAATGAACACTGCTGAAACGTATGTCGAATAGACTAAGACAGGACTCAAGACCATAAGATATCTAATATAATCGGAAAGGAGATTTCAACAGATAGAAAAATTTGGAACCCTGGTTATTATAAGTATTACTTAATTTTTAATAACATAAACATGAATTATTTATTTTAATCAACTTACCCAACAGTAAAATATTCTAAAAAGAAAAAGAAAATAAAAAAGATTATTATTTTAATTTAATTTAACATGTTTTTTTTTTTAATAGAACTAAAAGTAATTTCTAGAACTTCAGAACAACTGAACCAAAACTTAACTGATCTAGAACTGAAATTGAAATAAAATTGAACTAAAACTAAACTAGAAATGAACTAGAACTGAACTAGAACTGAACTAGAACTGAACTAGAACTGAACTAGAACTGAACTAGAACTGAACTAGAACTGAACTAGAACTGAACTAGAACTAGAACTGAACTAGAACTAGAACTGAACTAGAACTGAACTAGAACTGAACTAGAACTGAACTAGAACTGAACTAGAACTGAACTAGAACTGAACTAGAACTGAACTAGAACTGAACTAGAACTGAACTAGAACTGAACTAGAACTGAACTAGAACTGAACTAGAACTGAACTAGAACTGAACTAGAACTGAACTAGAACTGAACTAGAACTGAACTAGAACTGAACTAGAACTGAACTAGAACTGAACTAGAACTGAACTAGAACTGAACTAGAACTGAACTAGAACTGAACTAGAACTGAACTAGACTGAACTAGAACTGAACTAGAACTGAACTAGAACTGAACTAGAACTGAACTAGAACTGAACTAGAACTGAACTAGAACTGAACTAGAACTGAACTAGAACTGAACTAAACTGAACTAGAACTGAACTAGAACTGAACTAGAACTGAACTAGAACTGAACTAGAACTGAACTAGAACTGAACTAGAACTGAACTAGAACTGAACTAGAACTGAACTAGAACTGAACTAGAACTGAACTAGAACTGAACTAGAACTGAACTAGAACTGAACTAGAACTGAACTAGAACTGAACTAGAACTGAACTAGAACTGAACTAGAACTGAACTAGAACTGAACTAGAACTGAACTAGAACTGAACTAGAACTGAACTAGAACTGAACTAGAACTGAACTAGAACTGAACTAGAACTGAACTAGAACTGAACCTAAACTTACTACTGGAAACTAGAACTGAACTAGAAACTGAACTAGAACTGAAACTAGAACTGAAACGTAGAACTGACTAGAACTGAGACTGGAGAAACTGAACCGAGAAACTGAACTAGGAACTGAACTAGAACGTGAACTAGAACTGAACTAGAACTGAACTAGAACCTGAACTAGAACGGAACTAGAACGGAACTAGAACTGAAAAACGAGAACTGAACTAGAACTGAACGAGAACGTGAAACTAGAAGCTGAACTAGAAGCTGAACTAAGAACGGAACGAGAACTGAAACTAGAACTGAACTAGAACTGAACTAGAACAACTGAACTAGAACTGAACTAGAACTGAAGCTAGAAACTGGAAAACTAGAACTGAACTAGAACTGAACTAGAACTGAACTAGAACTGAACTAGAACTGAACTAGAACTGAACTAGAACTGAACTGAGACTGAACTAGAACTGAACTAAATGACTAGAACTGACTAGAACTGAACTAGAACTGACTAGAACTGAACTAGAACTGAACTAGAAGCTGAACGAGAGCTGAACTAGAACTGAACTAGAACTGAACTAGAACTGAACTAGAAAACTGAACTTAGAACTGAACTAAACTGAACTAAACTGAACTAGAACTGAACTAGAACTGAACTAGAACTGAACTAGAACTGAACTAGAACTGAACTAGAACTGAACTAGAACTGAACTGAACTAGAACTGAACTAGAACTGAACTAGAACTGAACTAGAACTGAACTAGAACTGAGTAGAACTGAACTAGAACTGAACTAGAACTGAACTAGAACTGAACTAGAACTGAACTAGAACTGAACTAGAACTGAACTAGAACTGAACTAGAACTGACTAAACTGAACTAGAACTGAACTAGAACTGAACTAGAACTGAACTAGAACTGAACTAGAACTGAACTAGAACTGAACTAGAACAGAACTTCGAATTAATCGATATCGAAATAAAAGTTTGTGAAAAATGTATCTTTCGCCGTCGTTTGCAAAAATGTATAATTTAGTAAAAGTTTTTATTTTTAATCAAATGAAAATAAACAACAAAATAGTGACAAAGAGATCGGGTTGAAATTTCCCCGAAATAATGTCATGAATATTTTGTATTTATTTACTTAAGTAATGTTTATTTTTATTTATTCATAATATTATTTTTTGGCCAAAAATAGCAAAATGTTTTTGTTGTAGGTAATTTTGTGGTTAAAAGTCATACAGACAATATTGTATTTTTCTTGTTTTGATTTTCTTAAATACGTAATATTAAAAATAACAAAAATAAAATTAACATAATGGCTTCCATGTTAAAAAAAATAAAACAAAGAAAATCAAAATATTTAAATTTACACTGAAAGAAAAGCTCAAATTGATAATTCATTCATAAGGTTTTTACAGAAAACTAGAGTAAGTTCTTATAGAAACAAGTTGCCCTAGTCTAGAGCAAGTTTTTATAGAAAAAAGTTGCTCTTGTCTAGAACAAGTTTTTATAGAAAGAATATTCTCTAGTTTAGAGCAAATTTTTATAGAAAAAAGTTGCTCTTGTCTATAGCAAGTTTTTATAGAAAAAAGTTGCTCTTGTCTAGAGCAAGTTTTTATAGAAAAAAGTTGCTCTTGTCTAGAGCAAGTTTTTATAGAAAAAAGTTGCTCTTATCTAGGGCAAATTTTTATAGAAAAAGTTGCTCTTGTCTAGAGCGAGTTTTTATAGAAAAAATATTCTCTAGTCTAGAGCAAGTTTTTATAGAAAAAAGTTGCTCTTGTCTAGAGCAAGTTTTTATAGAAAAAAGTTGCTCTTGTCTAGAGCAAGTTTTATAGAAAAAAGTTGCTCTTGTCTAGAGCAAGTTTTTATAGAAAAACGTTCCTCTAATCTAGAGTAAGTTTTTATAGAAAAACGTTGCTCTAATCTAGAGTAAGTTTTAAGGTAAAGTTGCTCTAATATAGAAAAAAATTTACTCTAGTCTGGATCAACTTTTCATATAAAAATTTAATAGTATATTTCTTTCAGTGCAAGCAGGCCACTTAGTTTTTAACTGCATATTGCCAACGTATGTGTCTAAGTACCTACTCCTTACCTCTCATATGTGTTTTAAGTGGAAACGCATAGAATGTTGTTTAAAAAAATAGTACTTTTACTTTGATTTCATTACATTAGCAGGGGGTATATACATATATATAAAAAAAATCCCAAAGTAGGAACAATTTTACAACAACAAGAAACAGAAAATATATATAATTTTGTGTAACACATGTGGACAAGTGCGTGAGTACGTCTGTCTGACTTGTCACTTAAATTATTAAAGATCTGGTTGTTGTTGTTGCTGCTGCTGGTAATACGTTTTAAGAATTTTGTCACCTATTGGATTTAATGTGTTTCTGTTTTATTTCTTTTTTTACATTATACCCTCACTTTTTGGTTTGTTTTCGGATTTTGTATATATTTTCCTTTTGGCAAGCAAGTAGTATTATAGGAAGAAATGTACATAAATTATTTATGTAAGTATGGGTGTGTTAAGTGTATGTATTTTGTATGTTTGTTCAAATATAAGAGAGTTTTAAGAAACATGTCAAAATTGAAGATTAATGAGAAAAAGGAAACAATATTTTGTAAGACTTCACCAAAAAAAGTCGAAAAAACACTTTTACTTACCGAAAAACGAAAAGAAAGGTATTAGAATGTTAGTAGAGTAATATAATTTTTAAGACTTTTTCTAACCTAAAGGTCTTAGAAAATTAACTTGAAAATGTTAAAGGAAAAAATTTAGGAAATAGGAAAAACGAATTTATTTTTTATATGTTAAGTGAAGAGGAAATTACAGTGTGGTTGAAATGAAAAGCAACATATGGTTTTGAATATATGATTTTGTTGTAACTTAACATTATATAGTCAGTTTGGTAAGGGAACAAACCTAATCATACAATATGAAGGACAAAGTTTTCTAACCAAGAGCAAGTTTTAGAGAAAAAATAGTTCTAGTCTAGAGAAAGTTTGTCTAGTTTGGAGCCATTTTATTTAGAAAAAGTTGCTTTAATCTAGAGCAAGTTTTTACAAAAAAAAGTTGCTGTAGTTTAGAGCAAGTTTTTATAGAAACAGTTGCTCTAGTCTCAAGCAAGTTTTATAGGAATAGTTGCCTTAGTCTAGAGCAAGTTTTTACAGGAAAAGTTGTTTTAGTCTAGAGCAAGTTTTTATAGAAAAAGTAGCTTTAAAATAAAGCTAATTTTTATAGAAAAAGTTGCTCTTGTTTAGAACAACTTTTTATAGAAAGGTTGCTCTAGTTTGGAGCAAGTTTTTATAGTAAATGTTGCTCTAGTTTGGAGTTTGGAACCAGTTTCTATAGATAAAGTTACTCTAATCTAAAGCAAGTTTTAATACGAAAAGTTGATCTATTCTAGAGCAGGTTTTTAAAGAAAAAGTTGCTCTAGTTTAGAGCAAGTTTTTATAGACAAAGTTGCTCTTGTCTACAGCTAGTTTTTATAGACAAAGTTGCTCAGTCTAGAGAAAGTTTTTATATAAAAACTTTCTGCAGTGTAGGGCAAGTTTTCATAGTAAAAATTGCTTAAGTATAGATCAAGTTTTTATCGAAAAAGTTGTTCTAGTGTAGAGCAAGTTTTTATAGAAAAAGTTGCTCTATTCTACAGCAAGTTTTAATAGAAAAAGTTGCTCTATTCTACAGCAAGTTTTAATAGAAAAAGTTGATCTATTCTAGAGCAAGTTTTTATCGAAAAAGTTGCTCTAGTTTAGAGCAAGTTTTTCTATTAAAACTTGCTGTAGTCTAGAGCAAGTTTTTATAGAAAAAGTTGCTCTAGTCTAGAGCAAGTTTTTATAGAAAAAGTTGCTCTAGTCTAGAGCAAGTTTTTATAGAAAAAGTTGCTCTAGTGTAGAGCAAGTTTTTATAGAAAAAGTTGCTCTAGTGTAGAGCAAGTTTTTATAGAAAAAGTTGCTCTAGTCTGGTGTAAGTTTTTATAGAAAAAGTTGCTCTAGTCTAAAGCA